GTGTTAAATCAAATCAAAAATCAAATATGAATGATAAATGTGTTCTAACGTTGTAAAGAAATGTTTTTGAGTTAGAAAGAAAATTATGTTGATTTTTTAAAGCTAATCAGATGCCAAAATAACCTTTGACAGTGAGTTAGATCACAAAACTGCAGTTCAGATGTGTGTCTTGTTTAATATGACCCAAGTTGTTACGTTTAATCTAGTTAGACAGATGTTGCAAATGTTTCAGAACAGCACTAAGGAGTAATTCAGGAATAGTTCTGTTTTTATTACTTTACTAAGTCAGTACAAGCATGAAATAGGCTTCAGGTAATAAAACACAAAGAATTGTGCTTGAAAACTAGTAAATTATTAAGTCCTTGAAGTGAAAATGATGTTATAAAATGTGATTGTGTACCAGCCTTTTATAAAGTGACACAAACCTACCTTTCCAGCCATAAACTGTCCAAAGCCAGGGGGAAATGTAAGTGTTGAAATGAGTAAAGTGACCAGAGCTGGATACAGCAGGCGTCTGAAAAACAGGAAGATGACAAACAAACAAAACATTAACAACCCATGAGTGAACTTACAGGAGGTTTAGTGTAGTACCTAACAAGACTGTTGAGAGACTAACAAGTACAAGTATTACTGCTGGACAGTATATCGGTTTGTACTGAAAAACGCTTTTTTTAATTTTCACAATTATATGAATTTTATGAATACCAACATTCCAATTTAAATACCCTTGACATGTTGGGAGCATTAACTCGCACCTGCAAGTGAACCGTTTTATGGGGAACACTTTTCACGTAGCACTGCTATGCACATTAGTAAACTTGGAGCAGCCTTCTCAATAACTGGCGGCGCACGACCTGTATTGAATGAGGTTAAAAAAATACTCCTGTTTTCACCATCACTGAATGTAGTATACGCCTCTTCAATGACGTGCACAGATAGATTTCATGTGCGATGTAAATGTATGAAGAAGTTAATGTGCTTCCAACATGAAAAGCCTATACATTCAGAGGAAGTGGTTTTGTACCAGAGTTAAGTTGACTGGTGCACGAAGGCTGGGTCGTCCTCTTGAGCGTTATTAAATAATACAAAACGACAGACCCGATAATGATCTTTGCTCAACCCTCCTTCATAAGCATACCAAAATTTGTGACTACTGTCTAAAACCAGGCAAAGAAAAAACATGTAGAGGAGGGGAAAAGCAACACATACAGAGGGACAGTAAAAGAAAAAAGTCAATAAATAGTTTCTGTGTTGCAGAAAGAGGGTAACTTCAGTTGACCGCAGTTTCCTGATCAATAAGCAGTGTTTTTACATTTATTATCAGCTGAGCTGTGATGAAAAGAAAAATACTGTCAAATCCCATGATACTAGTTTAATTGTTGAAAATACCACAATATAAAATTTGTGTCATACAGCCCAGCATTAACAAGTATTATATTATTTTAATTTTAGTAAATGAAGATGAAGATGGTGTCATGAACGGCTTGGCAGGTTAGAATCCCAAGTGCAGAACTAAAATGATCTTCGCAAAAAAAGGTGCAAAAGGCTGTATTAAACAAAATCAAAAGGCTGGCGTAGCAGCAAACAAGATACTTGGGCTTGGACATGAACAGGAACAACAAACCTCTGACAGACTGAGGACACAGGGCAGAAATTAAAAGACAACTAATGAGCTAAAACAAGAAACACCTGGGGGAGAAACATGAGGAGCAGGTGAGAGTGGGTGGGGCTGGAGCAAAGACAGGCAGGAGGAAGAAAACAGAAATACTGGACAGAAAACCAGAAGAGTAACCAAAATAAAAACACCCATACAGACACAGACCGTGAAAGATGGGCAGATATTGACCATTTTTAAATTTGATTTTTTTAAAAATAATTATTTATCATTTAACATTCAGGGCCGTGGTCTTGGATTTTATTATTTATATATTTATTTTTAAGGAGAGCTCTGCTGCAGGTGTTAAAACACAACCCCAACTGCAGAGAGTTGGAATATTGTATAACATCAATTGCATTATTCTAGATGCTGTTTCTCACAGACTGGTGAACCTCGGCCCATCTTTACTTCTAAATGATTCATCCTTTCTAAAATGCAATAATTAAACTCAGTCCTGATAGTGACCCGTTGTCAATTAATGTAAGTAATTACAAAACATTTTTAGTTGAAACACTATTTTTACAGCTTTTGTTGCTCTGCACCTATAATTGCATAGTATATATA